TATAAAGTAACTAATCAGGTATCTTATGCTGATGCAGCAAAAAAAGTGAAGGAAAGTGAACTATTCAGATCCAGTGTTACACAAGTAGTAAATAGAGACCAAGAGTCTGAGAACAGACGAGTAATTGAGGTTTCATCTCCAACACCAAGTCAGAGGCAAACAGAAATAAATCCATGGATAAAGGATATTAATGAAGATACACTGATTGTGGGTAAAACCAACTTTGTTGCTTTCATCTGTAAGACTGTAAATGTGGCAGTACAGCGGAAGAAAAAAAGTGATAGAATCAAGACAATTGTAGAAGCAGCCATAGAGATACTGGGGATCACGGAAGTTACAGCTGAACTGATTCATGAGATGCTGAACCCGACTAATTATGATGGAGTGTCTCAAGGTGGTTAGCCTCAATATGGTATTTCATATCCTCCACTGGAATGCCAGAAGTTTAATTGCAAATGGACAAGAGTTCAAGAAGGTTGTAACTGATCTGGAAGTTAGACCTGATGTAATACAAGAAACTTGGTTAAGACCACATTTGGATTTTGTCCTACAATTCGGTTAGATGTGACAGAATTGGAAAACAAGGTGGAGGATGTGTCACATTTATTAAGGATACTTTAGTATATAGAAGTGTAACTGTTCCAAATGAGTATGAATGTGTAGTAGTAGAAATGTGTAGTCCCAGAGGAAATATCAAAGTAGTCAATTTTTATAATCCGTGCAAGAAATTATCAATGCAAACATTCCATGAGATATCAGAAAGTGTTGATAGAAGAGAAATATGGTGTGGAGACTTTAATGCTCACAATACTCTGTGGGGAAGTGACCATACAGACACTAATGGAGAAGTAGTTGAAGAACTAATCGAGGAGAAATCAATTTCTTGCCTTAATGATGGAAGAGGTACCAGGGTTAATGTTACAAGAAATTCAATTTCTTGTATAGATCTTACTTTAGTCTCAGTAAATATGAGTAATTTATGTGAATGGAATGTAAAGAATGATAGCAACATAAGGAGTGATCCCTTTCCAATATTGTGTCCCATGAACTTTGATATGTATGTTCAGGAAGGTTATGTAATAGAGAAATTGTGTTTTCATAAAGCTAACTGGGAAAAATTCAGAGAACTTTGTACTGAGTATTCTGAAAGAATATCGATGGAGGGTGATGTAAATAGCTGCGCAGTAGCAGTGACTTCCATGATTATTAATGCTGCAACAACCTGCATCCCTAAGAGCACAGTGAATGAGAAAATGAAAATAGTTCCATGGTGGAACAATGAATGTAAAAATGCTATAAAAGACAGAAATCATGCATTCAGAATTTTAAGAAAGCATTTGAGCCAAGACAATCTGATTGACTATCAAAGAAAGAGGGCTATGGCACGGAAAATAATTAAGTCATCCAAGAAGAATGCATGGTGGCAATTCTGATCCTCCATTGGTAGAGAAGTTAAATTGGGTGACATTTGGGCAATGATCAAAAAGATGAGTGGGAAAAGAAAATCAGTTAAAATCCCAGTGCTGATAGATGGAGAACACCTGGCAATTACAAATAAGGAGAAAGCTGAGCTACTAGGTAAGAAGTTTGCAAGTGTACATAGTGGGAGTCATTTAGATGAAATACACAAACAACAGAAAAAGGATTATTTTAAAAACAAATAGTGATGTAACTAAGAAAAAAGACTGTGATGAATCGGCACTTGACATGGACTTCTCATTACGTGAGTTAAAAATGGTCCTAGAGGGAAGTGGATATACATCTCCAGGACAAGATCAACTATGCTATGTTTAGACAATTACCAAAAGAAGTCTTGGAAATTATACTAAAACTGTTCAATAAGATATGGAGAGAAGGTGTAATTCCTGATAGTTGGAAAAGTGCTCTGACTACCTTTTGGTAAACCTGGTAAAGACACAACTAATGCAGGAAACTACAGACCTATAGCCTTAACATCGCACTTGTGTAAATGGATGGAAAAGATAATTGTCTGTAGATTGTCATATTATTTAGAGCAAAGAGGACTGCTTAACAAATACCAAAGTGGATTTCATAAAGGAAGATCTATGGTAGACGCTTTAGTTAAAGTTAGCAATGAGGCAGAAAAGGCGGTTAGTATGAAAGAGGTCACGGCAATAGTATATTTTGATATTGAGAAAGCTTATGATTCAATGTGGAGAGAAGGACTACTGATAAAAATGCATGAAATGGGTATTGGCGGAAGACTATACAACTGGGTTTTAGACTTCCTGTCTAACTGAACTTTCTGTGTTAAAGTTGGAGATGCTGTGTCGGAGGATTTTGAAATTGAAAATGGTATTCCTCAAGGGAGCGCTATAAGCCCTATTTCGTTTAACATCATGATAAATTACATTTTTGTAAATGTTGATAGAGATATTGGGTCATCACTTTATGCAGATAATGGGGCTATATGGAAAAGAGGGAAAAACATTAGACATGTGACTAATAGCATCCAGAGTGCTATATTAAAAGTTGAAAGATGGTCATATGATTGGGGATTTAAGATGTCAGTTGTAAAGTCATGCTATATGTTCTTTACCAGAAAGAGAAATATTAATGACACACAGCTTAAATTGTATGGACAAAATATGGAAAGAGTAAAAGAGTTCAAGTATCTAGGATTGTGGTTTGATGAGAAATGTGTATGGAGGAATCACGTTAAACAGGTTGAAACAAAATGTAAAAAGGTTCTGAATCTCATGAGGTCAGTTTCTGGTTACCAGTGGGGAGCAGATAAACAATCACTACTAGATATTTATAGGGCCTTAATACGATCGTGTATTGATTATGGATGTATGGTATATGGAGCAGCAGCCAAGAGTATTTTAGAAAAACTAGACAGAATACAGTTCAGAGCTCTAAGACTCAGTATAGGTGCAGTGAAAACAACCCTTACTAATGCACTGCTGGTAGAAGCTGATGAATTGCCATTATATTTGAGACGTTCTAAGTTGTCTTTAGCATATTGGGTCAAGTTAAAAGGATCTGAGGAGGAACAACCTGCAACAAAGGTTCTGTGTGACTGTTGGGAATATACACAACAACTGAAAGGTAAAGGATTTGGCTGGAATATTAATGCAGTAGCAGAAGAATACGGATTAAATAACATAGAATATGGACCAATTACTATATGGGGAAATGTTCCTCCGTGGATATTTCCTGTGCCCAATGTGGACTTGAAGCTTCTAGAGAAGAAGAAAGAATGGAGTGAAAGTAATCTGGATAATATTGGATATTTGGTTCAAGATTATGTGAAGAGGAATTATTATATGCCACTATTTACTGACGGATCAAAAGATTCAGGGACTGAACATGTAGGATCAGGAGCATACATACCTGAGTCTGATGTAGTTATATGTAAAATAATTAATGATAAATTAGCTGTATATACAGCAGAAATGGTTGCTATTATTTTAGGGTTACAGTGGATAGAAGAGGTGAGGCCTGAGAGAGTTGTCATTTGTTCAGACTCCACTGCAGCCCTGTATAGTTTGAATTCCAAAATGACAGTAAGAGATGATCTATTGATTGAAATATGTAGTTGAGTTGATGTGCAATTTGTCTGGGTCCCTGCTCATGTTGGTGTTGATGGGAATGAGAAAGCAGATGAGATTGCAAAGACAGCGTTGAAATTAAAACACAATGAAATAATGCAAGTTCCCTTTGGAAAAGGAGAGGCCAAATCATTAATTAGAAAAGCAGTGAATGACGTATGGCAGAAGAAGTGGGACACAAACACTAAAGGGAGACACTATTACAGCATACAGAAATGTAGAAGAGATGAAGTGGCTTTTTCAAGATTAAGGCTTGGACATACTGGGTTAAAATCAATGCTTCATTTAATGGCGAAATGTGTGTCTGATAAATGTGAGGTTTGTAATGTTCCTGAAAATGTCAAGCATGTCATCATGAAGTGTAGTAAATATAATTCTGAGAAACATCTTACGTGACAAGATATATGAATTAGGACAGGGATGGAATTTAGAAGGGATTTTAGGGATGAGTGAGGAAACAAGGGAGTGCTGCAAAGATCTCTTTAATTTTCTCAAATCTACAGTATTAGATCATAATATATAGCCTTTTTTTTGTTTGTATGTTTGATTTAATTTTGTTTTGTTTTGTTGAGTTTTGTTTTCTATTTATTTATTTACCTTTTGGTTCACTGAACCTGTAACCTGAAGTACTAAAACCTTGAAGAAGAAGAAGAAGAAGAAGACTGGATCTGGTATTTAGTATCCATCAGTCTCTGTGTAGAATATATCATAAGGTCTGCTTTGTTTGGGTAGAGGAAAATGAAGATGCTGATATTCTGGCTAAACAAGCACTCAAATCAAAGTCAGTTGACATGCAAGTTCTGTTAAGTATCTGAAGGTAAAACAGTCATTAAAGAGCAAATGCAAAAAATATGGCAAGAATACTGGGAACTAAATGAAACTGGAAGACATCTTTACAGTATACAGAATTATGTTGGTCTGGGAAGAAAACTGGGTGGGTGCCAGAAGACAGAGACGGTCATTACCCATCCAAGGATAGGACACTCAGGGTTTAACCACTCACTTTATACACCCAGCTGGACACTGTGTAAAATGTAATAGTTTAGAGACAATTCAGCATGTGCTGGTTGAGTGTAGGGGCTATGTGGAGGCAAAATAGTAGCAGTTGTAGAGAACGCTAAGCTTAGGTTCACTGTCGAGAACCTCTTGGGAATAAAATATGGGGAATATCTAAGCACCTCATTGAATATCTGAAGGATACGGGATTAATGGAGAGGATATAGGTTTTTCATTTGGTTTTTAATTGGCTTTGTTTTTTTATTTGATTTCAAGTATATTAGTCTGAAAATCATCTGTTCCACAGTCCAGCCCGGTAGGTGGCGGTAATGCTCTTAAATGCTGGATGCCAACCGCCAATCAAATCAAAAGAAGAGGAAGATGTGACGTAGTGCGGAAGTCGGAAGTCCACTTATTCTTAGCATTTTACGCAGGGATCTTTCTTATTTAAAAAACATTTGTTACTCACGTATATAGGCTATAGTTATTTTAAAATAGCAGTTGAACTCGTTGTTCGAGTATTGAAGATAAATGTTGAGGATTTCGCTGCAGTTTTTAGATAGACTCCAGCTCCCACTCTCAGTATTGTGAGAAATATTATATATCTGCACCCCTGTCATTTTTGCAGGACGTGCTTGTTATGATCATGAACAGATGCTTGTTTACTAGAATTATGCCATAAAAGAACCTGTGAGTGGTCAAACTACAGCTAATCCTAAATAATGCTTAATCGTATATTAGCAGTATGGTTCTGGTTTGGATCAGATCGCCCTGGATTCTGTCTGGGAACATCTTCACTGATAGCACTCATGCTGCTGATGTATACTGGGGGCATCCAGGCAAGTCTCAGCTTAGGTCCAGGTGGCGACTTCCCAAGGGTTAGAGGTAAATGTGCATTACAATGGCCCGTTTCATTGGTTTTCATGCAAATCTGAATTTTTTTATTTTATTTTGGTGAAATCAAAGCAAATAACACAATTTTCTCCTCCTCAGATGTGTTCCTGTATGCTTTCAGTCACGATGAGCTGACCTCTCTGCTGGTCAGTGTTGCTCTCCTGGTGTTGGTTGGACCGTGTCAGGAGCGTCGCTGGGGTACCTTCGCCTTCCTCGCCCTCTCCATCCTGACAATGACTTTATTGCCTCTTCTTTACAGCCTGGTCCTCTTTGTCGGAGGCGGGGAGGCAAGTCGGATCTGTGGTTACTCTGCCATCCAGCTAGCGCTCTTTACAGCGCAGTGTCGTCAGGTGTCACAGAGGAGGCTGCTGAAGTGTTTGCCAGTCTGGTTTCTCCCCTGGCTTCTTCTGTTGATTGGTCTTCTGCTGCTGCCGGGGACCCCTGCTCTGCTTCACTTCTGCACAATATTTATCGGACACAACTGTATCCTTCACCGTTTCTGCAGTCTTTTGATGCACATGCAAAAATATATCCTCCAACAAACACATTCTGTTTTTTAGAGATACAATTAACCTTTACCTTCTCATGTTGGATGGATGCCTTAAAGGCCCTGTATACTCCTGGCAAATCCACACAGGGGTTTTACTTTTTTTGCTTGATTTAGACCTCTACTGAAGACTGTGTGGGTGTGCAAATTGCCCTTTGTTGACACCTGTCTCCTTTTCCTGTTAGTTTTGTTGAACTTGCAGGCTTGAGAAACTGACACCTTTTTTCATTCTTAATAGTACACAGAAATTGGTGACATGATGCAGCTGCCCAACTTTTGCTATTTATCTGAGCAGAAGTCTGATCAGCCACAGTAATTGGGAACACCTGTGTAAGTCTGTGCAGGGCCATTAAAAAGACATTCGATAACAAATTTAAATGTCTTATATTGTCTTCATGTTTGCTTGGAGCGAGATCAATGACTGATCTCCACCAAGTTGGAACCACACTTTTGTCTGGAAAAATACCGCGAGACCAGGCAAAAGTGTGGTTCCAACTTGGTGCAGCCGGGGTAAAGCGCCTGCAGCCGCCTTGCTCCTGCGAGGTTTTAATGTCATGTGACATGGTGACGATTTGCAGCGCCGGTGAAAGTGGGACACAATTTCTAACCAGCATGCCTTATTTTAAGTCCAGCATGCATTACGTTAAGTCAGCGCTGCGCAGCGCCGCATGAAGTCAAACGCACCTGTTCTAACAGTTTGAGCTGAAGTGTGCCCTCCCCCATCAAATCCATAATGAAGCGTATTTCCCTACAAATTACACAATGGCTCTCTCAAGTCTTTTTATGATACTTAATATACCTCTCAGATCATCAGCCCTTTATTGGGATGTTACAGGAGCTGGAGGAGGCCTTGGACTTCATTCCTGATTGGGCATATATTCCCGCTTCAGCCAGGCTCAGACTGCCCACCTACGCTACCGCACAGAGGTGTGATTCATCTTGTTTACACCAGAAGTCTCACCGATTATTCACACTCACCACCTGCATGCAGTGGCAGTTTTCATTATTTTAACTTGATTTGTTGTCACAGATCCAGATCACATTCCCAGAAGATACCTGTAGATCAGGCAGCTGCTCCTCCAATGAGGGATCCACGTCTTTTGAACCACCACCCATGGGTGGATCAAGTGCCTGCCTGGATTATGACAGAGTCAGCTGCACTGTCTGAGGCGGAGGTGTTGGAGGAGCAGATGCTAAGGGCAGGGATACTGGCCTCGTTACAGGATGCTCCTGACGACCCTGATGCGAAAGTGGAGGTTCCCAAATCGTCGGTCTCCTCTCTGCGGTTAGTAATTTAATGTCATCATGTATGTCATGTTGCATTTTCTGTGAATGTTTTGTGTTTAGTTTTTGACTAATACTCTTCATATTATTTCCCAAACAGTTTTATTTATGCGATTTCAAGTAATCATTCAGTTTGTTTCCTCTCAGACTCCAGCAGCTGGAGAATATGGGATTCCCCACAGACAAAGCTGTAGTGGCATTAGCGGCCTCAAAACAGCTAGATGGCGCCATTTCTCTGCTCATTGATGACAGCGTCGGAGAAAAGGCTGTGGTGGTATCAAAAGGGAAGGGCCCTCCGCCTAGCACCTAGCAGACCTGACACTCCTGTACTGAAACAGAGTTTGCTCTTGTGCAGTAAACTGGACATACCTTACGCTTGGGTTTTGCTGAGCTTCAATATTAGATTTCCCCTGCGGGCTACTTGTTGAACTATTTTAATGATCAGGATTCCTGTGGAAAAGTGTGTAGATGCAAACTGTTGACTGTTCTGGAGACAATATCTGTGTCATAAAATGTAAATTGTAAAGAGTGGATGTGATTTATTTACACTGTAATCATGTTTAATGAACACCATTGGAAGAAGGAAGAAGAGAGGTGACATGTTTAAAAAAAAAAAAACCCAATGGACATTATTTTATTACACCAATCATCTAGACAGGATTATCTTAACACAATAACACATTTGCATGGGGGAAAAAAGAGATATGAAATGGTTACACAACAGCATACAAAATAAACTACAATTGATCATTTTAAATAGTTTCAAAATAAGTTTGATATAAGATGAAAAAAACAAATATCAAGTCTTTTCATCTGGACAGTTTAAGCAGTCTAAGTTTACCAACACAACAGTGGTAAAAAAATATGTTCAAGTTCCATTAACAGTTTTCCTATTTCCTCTGTGTGTTAAAGATATTCAAATGACAGCCAGTTTGCAGTCCTTTTCATTTCAGCATGTTTTGTTTTGCATTCATTTCGTACACATTTTGTATAATTTGTTTTTTTAAATATGCAACCAAATACAAATGTTTGTGCTTTTTTTGTCGCACAAATTAAATGTATATTAAATCACCATATCAGTCATCAGACACTTTAAGGGGGAAAACACACCAGAAAACTACAAATCACTGTTAGCAACACATATATCAGAGTGGAGGTGACTTCATCTTTTTAGTGCACTACATAACATGGAGTCAAACAATAGGATAGAGGTATAACAAAATTAATACTAGAAGAAGAGGTTTGTTTGTGTCCTGCAAACTGTACATGCGCAATATACTTAAATAGTGGAATCTCTTTAGATTGCAGTGACATTGTGAAAGCAATACAAACTCCAATCCAGTCTATTTCCTCGCATCTGATTCCTCCTTTAATTGATTATTCTAAATGACCCTTATTGTCCAGAACTGTTTGTAGCTCGAGGAATACCACTGAACATTCCTTTTTTTTTATTCTGAGGCTTTTGTTCTGCAGCCAAGAAATGAGACACAGAAGGAGCTGCTGGGTATTTAATGTAAAGATAAGTGTTTGCCTTTGGAAATGGGTGGGGGTCAAACTAGTTCTCGGGATCCAGATGGAGGAGGGCATTGTGGAGTATCAGTGGAGTGTTCCCTGAGGAGTCCCCCATCCTAAATCTGACAGTAAAGCCCACAGAGGGTATCAGATAAGGTCTAAATCTGTTGAGTGCCGATGAGACCTATAGGAGGGGGAGTCAACCCAGCCTGTGATCCTCAGGGTGAGCGGAGGGGGGGAGGGGGTGCGTGGGAGGAAGGGAGGGAGGGGCTACTTCCCTCGAACCTTGGTGTCGGAGGACAGAGGAGAAGCAAGTCGATATGGAAGCACACCTGCTCGCTTATCTCTGTAGAAACTAGGGGAGGCTGTGCCAAACGGTCCGTCCCCAGACCCTAGATCAGGCTCTGTTGAAGAAAGACAGCAGTTGGAACGGGGCCTCCCTGTCCATCAGTGTGTGAACTCTGTGGTCCTAATCCAAGTCTACTCTGATGTAGCTGTTAACCTGCAGGTGTCATGAGTGGGTTCTTATTTTGATTGGACCCAGGTTTTATATTAAAATGATTAATCAACGAACTAGTCAGAAAGTTCAAGGGATTTATCGAATCCTTCTTTGCTTACTTCTGCTGTAAAGGAGGTGCATCTTGCTAGTAGGGCTGCAACAATTATTTTCCTTTCAGTAAATCTGTCTATCCCCCTGATTGATTAAAATCCAAAATAGCAAAAAATGCCTGACCAAAAGTTCAGAACTCAAAATGAACTGAAAGACTTAAAGCAAATCCTTTCTTTTGTGCAGCCAAAACCAGCGATTGTTTGGCATTTTTCTCAATAAATGACTTAAACAATTAATTAATTAATCATCCAAATTGCGATTGAGTTATTTTCTGTCAAGTGACTAATCGTTTTATTGACTAATCATTGCAGCACTACTAGCTAGACTTCCATTCTTTACATCCATTTGTACGCATGAACCCACAAAGTATGATGATAATACAAATGATTAAAGCCCCTGAAAACTTGGTTAAAAATCATAGTTTTTCTTAATAACAGTCATGACTAACAATCTTAGATTTTATTTATATAATGAGTTGAGTTTTTTTAAGAGTTTGACGTTTCAAATGTCAGCTAATCTGCTTCAGCAGGACTATGTGAGTGTGTTTTGTTCAGATTTGGTTGAAAGTGCTGGCAACCAAAAAAGTTAACAGTCATCTGGATTTTGATAAAAATGTTGCTAAATTGTAATTGGTGCTTGGAAGATCATCTTTTTTCAACTGAGCCCCACCCACTGTAAACCAGTGAGAAGAGCACAAATACAGGAATAGCTCATGTGAAATTACCAAAAAATGTTAAAACTTTGGCAGAGTGCTCATGTAAGACCACATCTCTCACAGTAAGAAGCTGACTGAGTAAATACGTTTTCAGGGCCTTTAAGGTAATGTCTGTGCCACCATTGGAGGATCGTCACAACCAAAACAAGTGATACACAAGAATACATTTCTAAACGACGTCTACTCTTCAGTGACTAGATCAACATTCAGCAGTTCAGCAACAAGTGGTAATCGAAATGTTCTGCGCCTAACACACGGTCAACACTTTCTAGATCTTTTCAAAAAAGGTCAGTGAGGTCCGGCAGAGCTGTGGGTGAAGATGTCTCAGCGTTACCTGGCCAGATGATAGCCTCCAGCAGCGTCACCCTGCGAGCCAGAAGCTCAAGGTCTGCCTGCAAGTCGTGGAACATCTGCAAGCTAACGTCCTATCAGAGAGCAGTGACAGGGGGGACTGTGTGAGGGGGTGGAAACACCAGCCTGAGTCCTGGGGCTGCTCATAACTGTTCCCACTCCCTGTCCCAGCAGTGAGGTACGGTGGGAGTTTGAGCCCCCCAACCCCCCACTTCTGACCCCTGCCTAAAGCTGACCCTGCCTCAGGCCTCCTACTCACCATGAATACCGATCATAGTCTCAAGGATTAAAACCCTCTCGGCTAAGATCTTCAGCGCCTCTCTGATCTGATGTATTCCGTCCCCCTGTGAAGATAGATACAGCCGTCAAGGTAAAGAGCGCAAGCCAAAGAACTGCTCGCCAAGATGCAAGTCATTTTCTCTCTCTCAATACAGTTCAGCAGTTAGAGGGTTAAAACAGTCCACATATCTGCCCAGCACTCTCAGACTCATCTGGTCCCTGTATTTCTCTGTAACTCCCTCATTCTCTGGCCATGCTGCTGTGGGAAGTCGGTCTCTGCCATGCTGGGCTGGGCAGCATAAGCATGCACATTACAAGACTAGCCTCATGTTGGTGACATACCACAGATGGATTACACTCTCCCAGTATTTAGATTTGATCATGCCATGTGCATTCCTTTTGTCGGGCAGCAGTTAAGCCAGGCGAATATTTTCAGCACCTCAGCATTGATTCTAAACGCTGTGTGGCTGTCAGAATGAAGCGAGCATAAATTTACATCAATATCTAATCTGAATAAAGGCAATGGCTTCTAAAAATAACAAAAATACTTGAACAGGAGAAGAAAGCAGAAATCACAAAAGAAGACATGCAGAGAATAGCGGGAGCTTTTTTTTGGTGCCCAGGTGAGTGATTCCCACTATGAAATGCTCTGATTAGTAAGACATTTAAAGGACATACACACGTTGGAAGAAAAAAGGCAAAGTTTACTGAGTCATACAATTACTGACTGCATTTTATAAAAGTTTTAGCCACGCTAGCAGCACCACCAAGAGGTCGACATTTGTGGCTTTTGGTGAAATATCTCCTCTTTTCATCTAGCGCCACCATCAAGTCAAAATTTTTATTTCTCCAATTCTTTGATACATAACCAAAGATCTGCAAAATGAAAGACATTCCCATTAACCTCAGCTGCACTTATCATGCTAACACACTCCACTAAGATGGTGAATGTGGTAAACGTATCTGCGAAACATCAGCAAGTTAACACTGCTGTTGTGAACATGTTAGCATGCTGATGTTACAGTACAGCCTCACAGAGCCACTAGCACGGCTGTAGACGCTTGTTAACAGAGAATTCATCCCCAAATAAAGGAGCTACTTTGCCTTATTTCTGTTTTATTGGCACTGTGTTATTTCACTCATTAGATCACATCCAGAAAAGAAAGTGTATGTGGTGCAGTACTTAAAGATGAAATCATGCAAGGTTGCACTTTGGGATAAAAGAGGATAGCTGTATCCACTCCACTCACATCAGAGCACAACACCTCTAAACCCAAGAGGACCCACCACTGACACATATGGAGTGATTTGGCATATACATTTCGTTTTCTTTGTGGTTCCTGTCTGTAAGACAGCACAGTTGAATTCAAATAAAATTATTTTAAATTTGCTTCCAGAGGGATTTGACTATATTCTGCATTCTTTTACTCAGCCAGTACACAGTGTTGTTATGAGATTTGCTCAGTGTATTTTGTATATCTATATGTATATGCCAAAGTCAGATGCTGAAAAGGTGACTGTGAGAGGTAGCCATGGGGACAGTAGCTTGCAGAGGGAGTCAGACAGCTTTAGGGTCAAGAGGACAGTGTCGTGACAGGGGACAGGAGTCCAGAGCACACCCCAAGGACCAACGAAAACAAAAACACGTTAACACCAAAAGATTTCACACACAAAGTCAAACAGATCAACAGCTAAAACCTTAAACATTCAAACAAAAATGTAAAATAGACACGTTCTGACTATCAACAGGGAGGAAAGTATGGACTGTTAGCTGATCACAGCCATAAACATGGTGACTATTGTGAAGATCATAACCATAACCTGAGATTGGGTCATGGTTAGACGTAATCTAGGTTATTGAAAATATACACTGCATTGCAAAGTGAACACCAAATGACAAAAATAAAAATATCTTACATTTAGATTGCTCTTGTAAAATGAGAAAGAGGTAAAAGAAAAATAAGGGTTAGACAGACACAGAGAAAATTTAATGCTCAACAAAGGAATTTTTTTTTAAAAGGCAAAAAAAACCACTCCAGCCAAGGACCTGTGTCGCCATGTGAACTGTGAAAAAACCACTAACTACTTTCTTACCGGCAAGCCCTTCTCTCCCGACTCTCCCTTGGGACCTGGTGTTCCCTGTGAAGAAATATTAACACCAGAGAAAAATGAGTCTGGCTTCAAGACATTAATGAAAGAGTTGCAGGAGTTTACTTCAACAGAAAGAGCTCATTCTCCCCGAGGCTGTGTTGTCACTGGTCAGTGTAGGTTGCAGTGCTGCTGGTTAGTGTAGTTTACAGTGCTATAACCAGCTATGAGTGTTGATGTTTCCCCCTATACACTTGTTTCCACAGGTCATAATCCTCAAGGCAACAGGGTGGAGGTGGCTTACCGGCTCGCCTCTGAAGCCCCTCTCTCCTTGGTAACCTAAAGGACCCTGAAAAACCACAGGCATGTCACAGAGAGTTTAAGGATGTCGATGTAGAGGAAATGAAAAACACCTATCATCAAGCTCTGAGCATACTCACTCGCTCTCCACGTTCTCCCTTTGGCCCAACAGGGCCCTGTGTTCCAGGGGCTCCAGGCTTTCCCTGTATTGAGTCAGAAAGGAAATTCAAATTGACGATGATACATTTTTACTCCAACAGATATGACAGTGCTAAACTCAGTAAGTGACTGCAGTGCAGCACTATGCTGTGAGCGAGCTTACGTTCTGTCCTGACGGGCCAGAAGGTCCTACTGGGCCTTTGGGACCCGGGGGACCCGGGGGACCTGCGTGAAAGATAATGAAAAATTTATATCAGTACCAAGTACGTTTAGCTTTTGGGAGGATGGGGTGCTGGTTTTTAATTGTGTTGGCTCCAAAAACAATAACTTCAGTTTTATCTTTGTTCAGTTGAAGGGAATTCTGGCACATCCAATCGTTGACCTGCTCAAAACAGTCACTCAGTGCCTTTATGGGATCATAGTCCCCTGGTGATATGGTTATGGTTAGTGTTTGGTCACGTGGTTAGGAATAAGCATTTTTGCATTTAAAATCAACTAAACCAACATCCTTCTTACATTAAAGACAATCATGAGGACCACAATGGAAATAAGTTTGTAACTTTCTTGTGTTATCCTCAACAGTTCTAATGAATGTATATTGTCAGTGTAGTTGGCATTTTTATGCATTTATTCTTGTTATTGTCTAATAAAAAAAACAAACTCAAATCAAAAATAATGTCTGACTGGGAAAGTTGAATGAAAGTGTGTGTTGGAAAAGCAATACACAGTAAAAATGCTTAGTAGACAATCTACAGTGTGTATCTGCTGCATTGTTGTGTGTAAAAGCATTTGAAATATTTGCAGATTTGAGAGTAACAGTGTTTCACAACACAAACATTCATTCACTATGGACAGTGATAAACACTCACCGATAGGCCCGGGGGGACCCTGAGGTCCTGGAACAGGTAACCCTCGTGAGTCTTGGAAAGTGTTAGAGAAGAAGGGGTCTTTTCCACGATCTGGAGTTTGAAACAAAATGTATTCTTAATGGGAGCAACTTTCCTGACTGAGGACAGTATTCACAAACAGGAACAAAGCTGATAAAATATCAGCAATAATAATCTGTGATACTTTTACATAGCATAGTGCCGCTTCACTGACAGTGACTTAAAGTCTGTAGCCTCACAATCCAAAGACATTTCTATTACTGTATAATGTCTGTATTATAATTATCTTGTTGATTTTATTTTGTCTTTAAGGGAATGATTGGGACTCAAACCTGCACCATCATAACATGAAAATGTGATGTAATTCTCTTTGTAAATGCAGGTTTGTCCTGTGGGTATGCAGTATTTCATGTGGTGCTGTACCCTCAGCAAACTCCACCAGTCAAATGGTTGTATTTTGGTTACATTTATAGATGTCGATGTTTAGGGTTGGGTCCGTGGTTTTAGTGAACGAAGAATGATTTGTATGTAACCTGACAGAAAGTGCTCCCTGAGAAGTGAACACAAAGAAGCCTGCGGTGAAATGCTTTGATCACACAGTTGCACTTTCATAATATGAACTTGTGAAGAACAGTGATGCAAGCGTTTCAGTGTGTGATGTTTTGATCTGTGTTGATGCCTTCCTGAGAAGCTCAACCTCAGGACAATGAAGGCCCTTGTCATTACATTAGAGTAACCTCCAGAGGGCAGTGTTTTCCAACAAATACTCAAACCTCATCTAATGACTTCAACAGGGTAGTACACTACACTAAAAGGTGCTGTCAGTAGTGTTTCGCATTCATTCAAAAAAACAAAAACCAAAGCTTGGTTCCTTCCGTATCCACTGACTGGACAGCTAAAGCACAAGAGGAAGAGGGTGGTGAACATGTGAGCGATAGAGGAAGTCTGCGGTCATTGGGTCGGTTTATACTGACAGGAAACACAGATCCAATCACAGGATGAGACTTCAGGAGATACAGAGAAGAGGAGGAGGAGGAGGAGGAGGGCGGATGACAGCCAGAAACATCCTCCAGCTGCCAGAGTGTTGCACACCGCTAACAAATCATGGCTAAAGGTGACATTCATAACAGGGCGTTCTGGCTGCTGGCTTAGGAACCTGCTCCTGTTCTCCTAATGCAGACGTAAAGGCCAAATAAACCAGTGTTTTCTAAAGGAAGTCTCTCCCCCCCCCCCCTTCCCTACTGTTGCTTTGATGTGAAAGAATTGGCTCCCAGTCTCAGAAATCATCATGCCAACCTCAGCCTACCCACAGCTTTCTCCACACAGGAACCTTGAGCTTACAAATCTGTGTGCTGCATACTTTGTTTTACCACTGAATTCACACATAAAACCCGGCAATGCGATGACCTTGAAAGGGCCGGCAAAGGCCCCCATCTGTCTCTCACAAACACTCCCTCAGCTGTCTCAGCGGCGGCCTACATCTGGAAGTTTTTGGGTGACATCAGTGATGGACAGGTTCTCATCCCAGCATGAGAGGTCTGTGTCAACCTCAGACTGTCTCTGCTTCCATTTAATACTCTTTGATTCTGTTCTACTTGGCTGGCAGACAGCTAGGAGCAAGTAGCAGTTAAAGGATTACCACCATCCTGTCTGTTTCTCATTCTCTTTGTTTCTTTTGTTTATCATTGGTCCTAAAACCTGTGAGAGCTCTCACGCAGCAGGAGAGAACATGTCTGCATGGCTGCTAAAGACATGAATATCAGCACTTTGAAGGGTCAAGTCTGTGAAACCTACGTCACCCTGCCTGAGAACAAAAGCTTTGTGTGCATGCACTAATGCTGCATTCATGGCAAACTAATTTTGTTATGTGAAATTAAATATACAGCAATTAAAGTGAAAGTGCGCTGATTTTACACATCTGTTTACGGGTCTTGGGAAGTACTTCTGCATATATGTTTATATAAAAGTTTATATAAAGTTTTATAAAGCCTTTTAGGAGCTGCGTAAAGTGCCTCAAGTGATGTCATTTGAGTCGTCATTGGTTGGAGCTGAAGACTACAAGTTTATAAATGAAAAAAAATAAACATCTCGGTGTGTGGAGTTAGAATAGAAGTGAGTGAGTTTACCAGAGAGTCCACGTCTCATCTCTGCTTGAATCTAATGGCACGAGGCTACATTAGCGACTACTACCATAACACACTCAAATCTCAGACTGACCTGTTGCAGGTTTGGACAAGTAAGACGAATGTGTGAATAAAAAAGATGACATCTCTAGTTTGGCTGCATCGATTCTTTTTAAAAACTGTCAATCAAGAGACCAACGATGTTAAAGGAGAGCAAAGATAAAACTGTGGAGTACTCTTTTGAGACTTGTATTTATAACAAATACAAAGAGTACTTTTAACTACTTGGTGTGGAATTTGTGTCATGAAGTCTGTTAGTTGTTCAAGGTCTTACTGCGGTCTGGTTCTGGGATGCGGGCACTGGCCGGCGCTGGAGGCCCCGGAGGGCCAGGCGGGCCTGGTAGACCCCTCTCTCCTGGGAGTCCTGGTGGACCACGGGGGCCTGAGAGGAGGAATGGCAGAAACATCACTGTGGTAAAACACATGAGGTATGCCATAGCAAAATATGATCTTTTTTTCTTCTTGAGAGGTATAGTAATGATAAATGACTGTTGGTGATGTAACGATAGGAAGATAAATATGACAAAGACCAGAGAGGAAACAGATTAGATAAAGTGCTGAATGATTCAATATAATAGTTTCTGGCAAGGAGTGTGCTTGCTTTTGTATCTGGGCATGTGCACATGTGGAGTAAAATCAGCAGCTGGACACAGGATAATTGTACGAACTAGCCAACTGTGTTTCTCTGTAATTAACAGAAGGAGGCTGTTTAATGGTCCAATGCTGGGAACTTACTCGGGGACATGGGAAAACTCAAATAAACATTATTAAACTCTACAAAGTGTTACTGGCACTGGTTCGTGGTATATTAAATATTCCCTGCATACACACACCGCACCGTACATGTGTGCATCAGTAACAGCCTGTAGCTTGTTCATATGGGCTGGCCAGTGAAAGTGTCCCTACTCCTCCCTGAGCCATTTATTTGAAGGTGAAAAGAAAAGTATCACAACTACATCTGACCTCATTGTTTGGACTCTCGTGAGGTAATGGTGACCCCTAAACACCAACTCTTGCCCTCCGACAGACCCAGACTCACCACCTCTCTGTTTATGTACTGATGCAACAATGACACTAATGTCCACTAATTGCTGCTTTGCAAGGTGATGTTACTACAGCTCAGATTTGACACCTCTGAGGGCCGTTTTCACTTAGCCTTGGTCTAAAGTGAGCCTTTAGTAGAGCTTTTAGAGCCTGTGAGACATATTGGGGAAAACATTTTTTTTTACTGCAGAATAATAGTTCCCTAGAGCAGCCAGGGGATGCTGCATCAAAATATTAGTTAATGTTTTCAATGCAACTCTCCTGTAACTTATCAGGACTCACCATAATGTACAATATCACTTCTCCCAACAACACAAGTTCACTTTTCTTCTATTTTTACCTTACACTTCAGCTTAAAAACATATCTGTCTACACTTTCCATGACATTGGACACATTCCAGTCCTGTGTTTATCTTTCTCTTTAAAATGAAAAAAATCAGCACAATAAGGAAAACACAGCTTCAGATACAAGACAGTGCTGGTTTTGAGTACTTATGAAGTAATGGAGATTGAAAAAACAATAACACCACAGGCATATGGAAATCATAAGGGCCTGGGATTTGTGTATATATAGCTCATGTTCATTTCAGATTGAATTCACATGGCGCTTCTCGGAAACTGGGTTTGTAGTTTAACTTTTGCTCTAAATCTCATCTTTACCCAGCAGCAGGCACAGAGCAGGGGTCATATGTTGGCCTGAAAGGAGAGGCACTCCCTTCATGATCCAGAGAAGAGAAATAACAGCCTATAGCGAGAGCAGATGTTGTGACACACTTATACCGCAATTTACTTTATTATCATTCAGGTCAAAGATGCCTGTGGATTTACTTTTTTTCCAACAGGTCATTTATTATTTTTAGAGAATAGCTCCAATCGCACTGAGCGGATTTATGATTCCGTGTCCGTTCTGGTTGGTGACCTTGAGCAGTAGCACATGTTGGGGGGTATGTATGCAGTCTGAAAACAAATGCTTTTGCTGCCCACTGAAACAGCACTTTTAGAAACATATGATTTTAAAAGCCGACCAACAAAATGCCCAAATTCCAGCGCCTTCCCAGCAGGCCCGAGGGGCCACTGGAACGAGCTGGAGGGTCTGTGGGCTAACCGAGTGGTTTAAGAGAGAGACAAATGCTCTGGAGCGGGACGTAACGGGTCAGTCTTTTGATGGAGATCTCTCATTCTCTCCACTGTTGTTTCCACAGGTCTTTGGTCAGTAGTGAGCCATTCAAATGTCTTTTATAGACAATAGGTTAAGTGGACAGGCAAGTATACAACTGCCCTACAACACCCTCCGTCTCTCTCAATGACACACAAATCTTTACAACGTGCCTATTGACAAAGTGTGTCAACATCTACTAAGACAGGGTTCATTTGTTTCTTTCAGCTCACAACTGTCTGCTAACAGTGAGTTGTGTGCATTTCCTCTCTTACCTGCAGGTCCTGGGGATCCCTTTGATCCAGGGGTTCCAGATGGGCCCCTTGTCCCAGCATCCCCCCGAGGCCCACTGGGACCTGGCAGCCCTCGAGACCCTGGCTTCCCTAAGAGGAGGAAACAGTCATGAGTAATCATGAAGCCTTAACTGGTTCACATCTTAAATGGTTTTGCATCCACTGGAAGGCAACTGTGGTAACAATTTACCATCTCTGCCAGGAAGCCCATCGCTCCCCTTTTCACCCTGAGGGCCTGCAATGAAAACAGAGAGATGGCTTAATTGAGAGGTGTAGCTCTGTGAAAAAAATCTGGGCTAAAACCACCTTGGGAAGAGGTAGCGAAAATCCACTGAGGGATGAGGCAAAGCTTTCTAAACTCTAAGTAATTGAGCAAAAACACAGTCATTACTACTCTAACCCTATGTCACCGTTAGGCTGTGTCAGAATATTTCCTACTGTATATAGTGCACTATATTTACTGCCCGCCATTTTATGTGACTGTTCAAATTCTCAGTGTCAATCCTATTCACTATATAGCGTTGTCAGATTTTACAGATGCATAAGTGTCCAGTGTCTCAATCTACAGCTCACTATTGAGTAGCCAATTATATAAGGAGTAGTGAAAGAGTGATTGAGGGTGTGATTTCAGACACAGGCTTAGACAGCTCTAAAATTCACTGGGACTCATTTTTCTTCAAATGGACAAAACTTCTGCCATCAGTTCACGTTCTAAACTTCTTCTAACAGTGCTGCAGGTTTATGAATACTGTGTATTTAGCCGCAGCCGGTGCTGGGCAGGACTCCAGAAGGCTCTGAAGTGTTCATTTTCCACACAGCCATAGAGCTGAAAGTGAGCAGCACAGACCACTGGGCTCTTACTTTTGCTGAAGGAAATGAGTGTGCGCAGTAGAGGAAATAGGATAT